AGCTAAGGTGGGTGAACCATATTGTTTCTCAATACGATCGTGATTCCATATATACAGCATGTCTTTTTTTTACTTGAATAATGGTGATTTATTTTGTGTCACGGTGTAGGTTGCTTATTGGCTTCTGCAGCACAAGGTCAGTGTCATGATGGCTGCCTGTGACACATTTCGATCGGGAGCTGTTGAACAGCTGCGGACCCATGCTCGGAGACTTCAGGTTTATGTTAATTTTACTGCTTAAGGATTGATGTAGTTCTATAACCTTCATATTCTTATTTTCCTAGTTCATGGCAAAGTTCTTTAGTAGAGGCATGCGTGTCTTCTTACAAATTCCATGTTTCAGATACCTATATTTGAAAAGGGCTACGAGAAAGATCCTGCCATTGTTGCAAAAGAAGCAATTCAAGAAGCTTCACACAATGGTTCGGATGTGGTTCTTGTTGACACAGCTGGTCGTATGCAGGTACTGATTTAGTTATTATCTTGGTCATGAATATGATTATTGTATCAGATTTTTGGGTCATTTATATGAAGATCGCTTGCATATAAATATTATGAAACTCCAATAATTGACATGCCTGTTTATGTTCTTTTCTTTTTAATTCCAATACATTAATATGGGATGGTGTTTGTTTATTTGAATGTATTTTTGTTCATCTAACCGTTGTTGCTGGTTTCAGGATAATGAACCACTTATGAGAGCACTGTCAAAACTCATCTACCTTAACAATCCAGATCTTGTCCTATTTGTTGGAGAAGCACTGGTTGGTAATGACGCAGTTGATCAGCTTTCAAAGTTCAATCAGGTATTGTTCATATTTGCTCAATATTTCCCAGATAATGCTTTTTCTTCCCTTATCTTTATGATTTAACTAAACTATAATGACAGTACAAAGATATTTTATGCTGTCATATGAAGCACTGATACTTAGATCTATGTCACGTATCTGTAGGACGTATCGTTCTACATAATTGAAAATTGAAAGTATTGTCTTATATAGTTACTATGATTTATAATTGTTTAACTGTGTAAAGATTTTTCTTTATATTGACAAAATATTAAAATTAAATTCTATTTTGTCTCTATATTTAACCTCAACTGTCTCATGGCACCTCAGAAATTAGCAGACCTTGCAACATCACCCAACCCAAACTTGATTGATGGGATCTTGCTCACGAAGTTTGACACCATTGATGATAAGGTACATGAATTCAATTTTTTTTAAGGAAGTATGAGTTTTTCAGTTGACATGACATGTTCGTGAATAACATTGTTTTTTAATATGGTTTCCTTTTTCAGGTAGGAGCAGCACTTTCCATGGTTTACATTTCTGGAGCTCCTGTGATGTTTGTGGGCTGTGGACAGTCTTACACTGACCTCAAGAAACTCAATGTCAAATCAATTGTGAAGACTCTTCTTAAATGAGGGCACAGAGTTGTTTATTTTCCCTTGAAATCCTGTACACCTGTCTTCTGTTTGTTTGATGACGAAGTTGATCCCGTTCACCCTATTACTTTGTGAGGAAAAACTGGCTTTGACTTTGAAGCATGGTTTGTTTTAGATTAAGGTTGTATTTGGTCAGCAATTGTCCTTGTTTTTAGATAGGTTAGAAAAAAGGACCTAAACCTAACAATCGAAAAACAGATAACGAGTTTTGGGTGGATTCAGGCTAATAATGGTTTAAAAGAATTAAATGACCATTTTATCTTTGAAAAATTAGACATCTAGATTACTTGTTTTGAAATTTTCCGGACAACGCTTCTTGGAATTTTCAATTTTTTGTTTGGACAGAACTTTTGGAATATATGAAATCTATGTGTGGAATGAATTTTTCGTAATAAGATTTTTGGAACAATTTTTCAT